CCGGTCATTCAAGAGAGACAGACCTCTCTGTATTAGGGACAGACTTAGGGCCTCAGAGACTTTAGAGCCACAGAATCGTTACTTAGGGACACAGAATCGTTACTTAGGGACACAGAATCGTTACTCAGGGACACAGAATTGTTACTCAGGGACACAGAATTGTTACTCAGGGACACAGAATCGTTACTCAGGGACAGACACAGAATTGTTACTCAGGGACACAGAATTGTTACTGAGGGACACAGAATCGTTACTCAGGGACACAGAATTGTTACTCAGGGACACAGAATCGTTACTCAGGGACACAGAATTGTTACTCAGGGACACAGAATTGTTACTCAGGGACAGACACAGAATTGTTACTCAGGGACACAGAATTGTTACTCAGGGACACAGAATTGTTACTGAGGGACACAGAATCGTTACTCAGGGACACAGAATTGTTACTCAGGGACACAGAATTGTTACTCAGGGACAGACACAGAATTGTTACTCAGGGACACAGAATTGTTACTCAGGGACACAGAATTGTTACTGAGGGACACAGAATCGTTACTCAGGGACACAGAATTGTTACTCAGGGACACAGAATTGTTACTCAGGACACAGAATTGTTACTGAGGGACACAGAATCGTTACTCAGGGACACAAAATTGTTACTCAGGGACACAGAATTGTTACTCAGGGACACAGAATTGTTACTGAGGGACACAGAATCGTTACTCAGGGACACAGAATTGTTACTCAGGGACAGACACAGAATTGTTACTCAGGGACACAGAATTGTTACTCAGGGACACAGGATTGTTACTGAGGGACACAGAATCGTTACTCAGGGACACAGAATTGTTACTCAGGGACACAGAATTGTTACTGAGGGACACAGAATCGTTACTCAGGGACACAGAATCGTTACTCAGGGACACAGAATTGTTACTCAGGGACACAGAATTGTTACTCAGGGAATCGTTACTCAGGGACACAGAATCGTTACTCAGGGACACAGAATTGTTACTCAGGGACACAGAATCGTTACTCAGGGACACAGAATCGTTACTCAGGGACACAGAATTGTTACTCAGGGACACAGAATTGTTACTCAGGGACACAGAATTGTTACTCAGGGACACAGAATTGTTACTGAGGGACACAGAATCGTTACTGAGGGACACAGAATTGTTACTCAGGGACACAGAATTGTTACTCAGGGACACAGAATTGTTACTCAGGGACAGACACAGAATTGTTACTCAGGGACAGACAGAATCGTTACTGAGGGACACAGAATCGTTACTGAGGGACACAGAATCGTTACTGAGGGACACAGAATTGTTACTCAGGGACACAGAATTGTTACTCAGGGACACATAATTATTACTCAGGGACACAGAATTGTTACTCAGGGACACAGAATTGTTACTCAGGGACAGACACAGAATTGTTACTCAGGGACACAGAATTGTTACTCAGGGACACAGAATTGTTACTGAGGGACACAGAATTGTTACTCAGGGACACAGAATTGTTACTCAGGGACACAGAATTGTTACTCAGGGACACATAATTGTTACTGAGGGACACAGAATCGTTACTCAGGGACACAGAATTGTTACTCAGGGACACAGAATTGTTACTCAGGGACACAGAATCGTTACTGAGGGACACAGAATTGTTACACAGGGACACAGAATTGTTACTCAGGGACACAGAATGTTACTGAGGGACACAGAATCGTTACTGAGGGACACAGAATCGTTACTGAGGGACACAGAATTGTTACTCAGGGACACAGAATCGTTACTCAGGGACACAGAATCGTTACTCAGGGACACAGAATTGTTACTCAGGGACACAGAATCGTTACTCAGGGACACAGAATCGTTGAATTAAAGAGTATGTCAGACAACACGCAGAGGAGTGGCAGAGGAGGCAATGTTTCAGGAGCGAGCAGACGTGGCAGCAGAGGAAGGGGTCGAGGCAGCACTAGTCGCAGCCAGAGGCCAGTGCTCCCGGTGTCATCCAGCGGTCGTGTCTCCACCGACAACCCTGCCGTCATCGATTGGTTGGCTCGGTCGTCTTCCTCTTCCCAGGTCACCTCTGACACCTACAGCCAACGGTCGGTGGGTACGTCAGACACAACCGTTAGTTGGCATGGCCCGGGAGCAAGCCCACTGAAATCATGTGTCCTCTACCTGCCCCTGTCCTTTGGTGTTCCCTCACCAAGCGAAGTATCGCATGCTGTGGGCTCAGCCCCACTGTACAGTGAGGAAGAGCTAACAGAGGGCGGTCAGGAACGGGGGGAGACATCCGCCTCTTCAGCAGCCAGGCGAAGAAGTACTGGCGAGGAGAGTGGCTCGGTAGCCGGTCTAGAGACAGGTCTGTCTCCTGACCCACACGCAGCCGAGGGGGCTAGTAGTGAGGCGGAGACCCTAATTGATGATGATGAGGCTGATCGCACTTGGCAGCCTCGTCGTCATCAGGCTATTGCTTCCGCATCATCAGGAGAAGAGGGTGCCAGCTTGGCAGCGAGCAAAACAGTCGGTGGGTTGCCCAGGAGGCAGCAGGGTCGCAGCAGTGTCAGTGGAGGCAAACGGCCACGGAGTAGAGCACCAGCTCCACTGCAGCCTACCACCACGGCCAGTAGTGGTGCCGGTGTGCACGGAGGAAGTAGCAGTCAGCCAGTGAGGAGTAGCGGGGGCAAAGTTTCCTACTCGGCGGTGTGGCAATTTTTCGTCAAGCCGCCCGAGGAAGTAAACGTAGCCGTATGTCGACTATGTGGCCAGAAAGTCAAGCGTGGCCAGGGGGCCCATGTTGGGACTACAGCGTTGCGTCAGCATATGCAGCGTCGCCATTCAGGGGCCTGGGAAAACCGTGATAAAGATACGGCGGTTCTGCCTGCCCCAGCCCCCGCTCCATCACCCGCTCCGTTACTTGCTCCGTCACCCGACGTCAATCGCCCTCTATCAGCCAGTCAAGGCTCCAACACCTCTGCTGAGGGGAGTTGTCGCTCGTTGGCATCTTCCGCTCGTTCAGATGCTCCTTCTCCTGCTACTCCTCTTCACGGATTCCGTCAGCAGTCTTTCTTGGAATCCGTTTCCAAGAGACAACAGTTTGCGAGCACGCACCCGACGGTGCAGAAGCTGAACGTCCTCCTGTCCAAGTTGCTGGTGCTGCAGTCCCTCCCTTTCCAAGTGGTGGACTCAGCACCTTTCTGAGAAATGATGGCTTGTGCCGAGCCGCGGTGGAGAGTGCCAAGCCGGCATTTCTTCGCCAAAAAGGCAGTGCCAGCCCTACATTCACATGTAGAAGAGATGGTGGGCCAGTCTTTGAGCATGTCGGTCTCTGCCAAAGTGCACGGCAGCGCCCACGTGTGGAGCTGTAACTATGGTCAGGGACAGTACATGTCATTTACGGCCCACTGGGTGAACGTGGTGCCGGCACAGCCGCACCAGCAACTTGGACAGGTCACGCCGCTTTTGCCTCCACGTTTGCACGTCCTTGGTCCAGCAAAGATGTCCGCCTCTACCACCTCTTCTTCCGCCGTGTCCTCAGCCGCCACCCCCGTGCCAAGTCCCATTACCCGACCGGCATATCACATGTGCAGGGCGCAACGGTGTCACGCTGTGCTGCACCTGGCACGTCCTGGAACAAATGCTGTTAACAATGGCTGGTCAGGGTGCGGTAGACGTGGCGCACAGATCTCAATGCCACATGACCCCTGTGGGGGCAGGACAGGAAGAAGAGGAGGAGGTAGAGGAGGACATTGGTGCTCAGGAATTATTGAGTGAAATGGATGGTTTTTCCACTCAGCGGACAGGAGTGGAGGAGCAGGAGCATCTGGTAGAGGAGGAGGAGGAGACAGAGGACCCAGACGCACCGTGGCAGTATGCTGTGGAGATGGAGGCAGGGAGTCCCTCGCATTCCTTGGCACAAATGGCCCATAGCATGCTCAGTTGCTTGCGTAGCGACAGCCGAATAATAACCATCAGACAGAGGGATGACTTTTGGCTGTCCACCTTGTTGGACCCTCGCTACCGTTCAAAAATGGTGGCCTTTTTCACACCTGCTGAGAGGGAGGCCAAAATAACGTACTATAAAAAACCACCTATGTAGTCAGTTGGTCTCTGCCTTTCTGCGCCAACGTCCATCCTCAGACACTGTGGGCCCTGTGCGCTCGCGTTCCGCTGCCATGGCAGCAGGGGAGGGGTGGGGTGGTAGGAGCAGTGGCAGCTCCACCAGCAGCGGCTGCCTCAGTCTGCAGTCGATGATGAGTAGCTTTCTTCACCAGCGCAGTGAGGAAACTACTAACCAGCAGCAGCATCAGGTGGACCTGGAGCAGGACCTCAAACAACAGGCTTGGGCCTACTTGGACAGCACCCTGCCAACCGAGGTAGACAATCCCCTTGACTACTGGGCAACGAAACTTGACCTTTGGCCCCAACTAGCTGAATTTGCCCTTGAAAGGCTGTCATGCCCGGCCAGTAGCGTGGCATCGGAGCGCGTGTTTAGTGCGGCAGGAGGTATTGTAACTCCGCGGAGGACACGACTGTCCACCCAAAGTGTGGAGAGACTCACGTTTGTGAAAATGAATCAGGCGTGGATTAGTCTGGATTTCAAACCACCAGTTCCTGACACAACTGACTAAATCCGCCATGAATCATGCCCCAAACATGTTATTATTTTTAACATAGGCCTCTGTATGGCCTTCAATTTAAGCTGCTTACGCTTCGCCACTCTGCCATGGGCCCCTGTATACCGCCTCCTCTTGCTGCTGCCAGGTCCAGAGTGTGTCATGGGTCCCTGTACGGCCTCCCATTGCTGCTGTCTCCATCGCCACACTCTGCCATGTGCCACTTTCAGGTCTCCTCACACTGCTGGTGGGTTCCATTTTGTCATAGGGTGCTGGCAGATTACGGGCCTCCCATTGCTGCTGCCAGGCCCGTAATCTGCCATGGGCCCCGTACCGACTCCTCATGCTGCTGCCAGGCCCGTAATCTGTCATGGGCCCCTGTACCGCCTCCTCATGCTGCTGCCAGGTCCGAGTGTGTCATGGGTCCCTGTACGGCCTCCCATTGCTGCTGTCTCCATCGCCACACTCTGCCATGTGCCACTTTCAGGTCTCCTCACACTGCTGGTGGGTTCCATTTTGTCATAGGGTGCTGTATGGCCTCCCCATTGCTGCTGCCAGGCCCGTAATCTGCCATGGGCCCCCGTACCAACTCCTCATGCTGCTGCCAGGCCCGTAATCTGTCATGGGCCCCTGTACCGCCTCCTCATGCTGCTGCCAGGTCCAGAGTGTGTCATGGGTCCCTGTACGGCCTCCCATTGCTGCTGTCTCCATCGCCACACTCTGCCATGTGCCACTTTCAGGTCTCCTCACACTGCTGGTGGGTCCATTTTTTCATAGGGTGCTGTATGGCCTCCCATTGCTGCTGCCTCCACCGCCACACTGTGGCTCCACACTCTGGTTTTGGCCCCGTGACTGCCCAAATGAGTGAAGTGTGCGGTGATTCTAAGATCGACGGCACTCATCTGCATGTCATACTGACTGACAGTATTATTTCTCTTCCCCAGCAGACTCCAAGGGCATTTAAATTAAAGGTACAGTGTTCTGCACTAATATAAAGGCACTCTGAAGCCTAGAAACACCCTTTTTATAAGTTAAATTCGCAGCGAATATATTCGACTCGAATCGAATTTATTCCGCAAATTCGCCGAATCAGCCGAATCGAATTTTTGAATACTTCGCTCATCTCTAATTATAACCTTTATCTATTCAAACCCTGCTCATATTCAGTCACATTTTATTAAGACATCTATTTTTAGCCACGTTTTCATGTCTGAAACAATTCAGTTTATTCTTCTTTTACATGGTAACCTGAGCTAGAGAGTGTAGATTATGCCCCTGGTGTTGCTTTTACATTCACTGTGCATAGCCTATTCTTTGTGACTATTCCTATAAAACATTGTCATTTGCTTGCTTCACATTTATATTTTGATTAGGGTGGACAGAGAACAAAGACACTGTGTCTTGCAGTGTCTCGTTCAAATATCTTTATCAGGTTTTAATCTTTTAATTATACTATTTTCCAGAGCACACATCTTTGTCCCAGTATTTTGTATATATAGAAATATACAAAATACTGAATACCTATGAAAAAGGTACCAGGGGCATCTCATGGGGCCCCCTACTGACCCCGGGCCCTCGGGCAGTGCCCGAGTTTCCAAATGGTCAGTCTGCCCTGAACCTGACAAAGGTTCTAACCTTTACCCACTCTATTGAAAGCTTTGGGCTGGAGCTCCACTTTCAATAAAGGTTCGATCAAACAACTTCCAATGCCTTTTCTAAGGCAGGGCATTACATTTTCAAATGTTTAATTTCTATTTCATTTTTAAATTTTTTTTGAAGCCTAAAATGGCAATATACAAGATGTCAGAGGACTGGAATTTGAAAACATTTGACCTTGTTTGTTTCATTCTGTTGAGTATGCCTCAAGTACACAGAAAAGACTAAACTTTGTTTGGAAAGAGCCTGATGGCTATTTTTGCCTAGTTTTGTTTTTAGAGCAAACATCTGTGTTCAAACATTCAAATAGTTAAAGATGTTTCATGATTTATTGGAATATAAAAATCCACAAGAACAAAATTAACCTAGCAGAAATGCAAGGATTAAATTCTCAATTTTGGATAGGGATAAAGCAATAAGGTGTAATATCTTATTCCTTGTTCCAGTAGGGTACCTGCAGCAGTGCAACCAGCCCCACAAAGCCTTCTCTCTGTGGTGCTCCTGACCACAGTCGCACAACTGCTTCCTCCAAGTACAATGCAAGGTCCATACAAGGTCCATACAATGCAGGGCTTGCAATGCAAGCCCTGCATTGTATGCGATGATGCTGAAGGACCACCCACAGTCTGGAGTGCTGGAGGGAGAGGAGGTCACTGCTGGATCCAATCAGAGGTAAGTAAAACAGCCAGAGTCTTCTTTCTGTGTGCAGGAGGCAGTATCTTATTTCTTCAGGTGTCCCATTGGCTGTCCTACAACAGGGTTCTCTTAGGATACAGAAGAGGAATCTTGGCAGTAAGGTCAGCAGAGACAGGGTAGTTATGGATGGACTTGAGTTTTAAAATAAGTGAGTGTAAAATAAATAAAGAATCTTGGCTTTAATTGACAAATGCAGCATGTTGTTGACATTAGTTTGAGAGGCTTCTGAGATCTTTCAGAATTCATTGCAGGTGCAATTGACCCACATTTGACCTGCTTTGGCTGCTTTTTGCATTCCCATTGACCTGTAATGAGAAAGAAGCAGTTCTAAAGCAAACTGAAGCCGTTGACATCGGCCTTATGCTCAACTCCAGGTAACACTATTTAACTATTAGCTGTTAAAGCAATAGTCTTTTTTTCTTGGGTTAAAACTATATGAATAATAGCTCATTATTGTAGGCAGTGTTATATGGTTTGTCCCAATCCCTTTGTCATTTTTGCTGGACAGCTTGGCCTGTACATAGACTGAAAAAAAATATAAAGGTCTGCAACATTTAAAAAAAAAAGGAACTTATACATTGAAATCCAATTATACAGATATTACCTTCATACAGTTACCATAACACATTATTTTTCACTTTAATGAGCCTGTACAATCATTATTTTTATATTTTCCAGTGTTGTGAAGAAGCACACTTTTATTACGGCTTTCAGTATACAAAGTCATTAGGTCAGGTAGAATTCTTAGCTGTGTTCATTTTCAAAGCAATATATTTCCTCTTGGGATATATATACTTGTAATGCCCTCTAGCCCTCTGGGTTAGCTAGATGGACTGTCTGTTGGATTCCTTTTATTTTTAGGCAGAGTAGCAGTCTGGGATGAGTCAGCCTGTGAGTGAGGCGGGAGTTCACCTCAAGACAGGCTAGGAGGCTCTAACAGGTCAGGGCTTCTGGAGCCCTCCCACCTCTCCAGAAACTGGAGAGCTTTCTGGAGTAGGGGAGGAGGTCCAGATCTGCATATTTGAGTGACCATGGCCAAACCCCTGGTAAGAGACCGGGTATGGTGACCAGGGCAACCTTCAAATGTGGCAGAGTCTGGGGGGAGGTGTTTAGTATCAGGTGGAAGATGGATTGAGGAAGGCTGGAGTGTGGAACCTGGAAGGGGACCCCAGGGAGGGGAGCCCATCTACTGGCAGGTCGCTGGAAAAGAGGATCTCCACTACCTCAACATCTCCCAGGGAGGACAGCCTGTGTAGCAGGGAATGAGTCAGCCCAGTGTAAGGCTAGAAGGAAACCACCAACCCACCAAGCTAACAGGAGAGGACAGTGTGAGTACTCTTACACCCCCTGGGCCAGTTAAGGACGGATAAGGGAAGAGGGCAGTCAGGTGCAAGACCCATCTAGCTTCTCATCTGGGACTATTTCTAAATGAACAACTCTTGGGCCCCCTTGTCCAGGGAATACCCTCAGTGCAACTGGGTGAAGGGGAGTAATCATCCAGGGTCTGAGGCGGTACACTAGGAAGAGTCTTTGAAGCTCTTCAAGGAGAGAGATTGTTGCTATCTGCATTTTGTACATAGTTACTAAGGTGTTTGTCCTCAAGTTCTGCAGTTCCTCGGGCATCCCATATACCCCTAGACCCCATCCAAGTTCTTAAACCCTTAATAAAATCACAAAACCAAACTCAAGGACTGTTTTTTGACTCCAGTGTGCAAAGTGTGAAAAATGCATGTTGCCTGGCCACAGCTTAGGGGGACCCAAATCAAACTCAGCAGCCCTTACGGGGGTAGTGATACATACTGTATCTCTGAAGAAAAATTAACCTTTTAAATATCAGCACATTAGCGTTGTACTGTTTCTCAGCTAGTTGAAGTAAAGATTGTTTTTGCAGAAAGGCAAGAGCAAGTAAAGGGGCCCAGTTTTGGGAGAAACACATGTTGGAAAGATTAAAGGATCATACTGGAAAGCTGTATGAACACTATAAATGTTCCAAGTATTTCATTTACATCCCATCACATCTACATTTTTGCTATGCTAATCTCTAGTTAGGAAAAACATTTCCACAGCAAAAGCCCAGAGGAAATAGAAGTGGGAGTTGTGGGAAAGTGGACACGTAGGCCGCAAGACAACCTAAAGAGCACAAACAATGTATAAAATACTTGTGACATTGTTCACTTCTCTACAGCCATACAATGTGGGAATATTGAGTAATATTCTGCTTTCTTGATTCACTAAGCAATGTTCTTTTTTTGCCAATAACAAAACACATCCACTTCTCAAGACTTCTCAGTTCCCAGAACAGCACGGCAATCATTCTGTCGTCATACTGAGTTTAATCATCAAATGAAAGCAAACTATAAATGATGGAGAAATCATTGAGTGTATATTTGTAGAAGGAAATGCATTTAGATGTGTTACATATATGGATTCTTTCAGATGACTGCTCATTAACACCATATGTATTGTCAAACATTTTACTTTTGCAAAATACATTGTTTTCAGTATGACCTATTCATACCAAGGCATTACATGGGGGCACATTGGACAAAGCCTTGCATTCTGCATTTGTGTGCATCTTTTAAATCAGGTCAACTTATTGAGGTCCTTCAAAACCTAATTACAAACACACCTTAAAGCAAATGGCAATATTTAACGTGTATTGCATGTATTGTCAACACTTTTTTTTTATTTTTGGATAAAGTCAGGAAGGATAAGAACCCCTGTCAAGTTTTTGTTACTGTATGTACCCTTGTTAACTATATTGACCCTCTCTAGTTTTCCTGGTGGCCATTGTCACCGAGACAGAAAGTGATGAGAAATCTAGAATATTGCAATTGTCACCAGAACAGAAGGTGGAGGAAAGTCTTTGAATGGGAACACTTATGACAAAAAAGATAAGAGGAAAGCTTCACACATTTTGCAGTGATGAACGAGATGCAAACAGCCAAAAATTATTGCATGGCTTTTTTTTTCTAGCAGATTTACTGAAATTTACAGGATATTCGGTCATAATAAACAATGAGAGATACAGTATAAAAGATGACATTGGTAGTGTACATGAATGTTTAGATATCTGAAAAAAGCATGTGGAGTCACATGAAACATAGGACAATTATCTATGGGCTTTATTGCTCTAAGGAGATCATTTTCAAGATGTTTAAGAGTTTTTCTTTAAGATATATAAAAAAATATACATGTTAAAAAAACTGTTACATAGAACAGCAGCTATGGTCCCATTTTTCAAAGTAATGGTAACAGGCCTATAACAGTGGCAGGAGATGTTAACATTTGCAGGTGGAAGAACGTGCTAATGATGGCTGGGTGTACTCAAGGAAGCCAGACGTGAAAAAGGTTGCAGCATGTGGGGTATTACACAAGTCCATTTACATCCGTCTGTCTATAAGAATGCATAAATCTTCTGGTCAGGTCTGCCTTAAAAATTGACAGGCTGACCTGCTCAGACCTGCTGTGTGAAAGGGCCATCATTGATGGCGTTAGCAAGCATTGACTGTGAGAAATTGGGTTTAAAACTGCACTGCCCAATTTCTCACAGTCAGGACATTGCTATATGTAAAAAGGAGATAAAAAGTTAAAAAAAAGGTAAACCAGCTCTTTTTTACTTCTATCTAAAAATCTAAAAGTT